CCCCCCCCCCCCCCCCCTAGCTCCGTCTCTGTATCTAATCCCTTTATGCTTGGTAAGGCTGTAAGATAGTTAAGTAATCAAAAGATACAAAAAGAAGTTATAGAAATTAGATGGGGAGGTCTTTCACATCGAACATCTTGAGAAACACTAAGGGGTCGTTCTCTTTGTATTTTTGAAAACGCGTTTTTTGAAAATAAGTTAAAATTTTACAAAGAAAAATTTGTTGTTTTAGATGTTTTCAAAACAATTTTTCAAAATGTCAAAAAGAACACATTTTCAACAATCTCAAAATGGACACTCAAAATACAAAACTCAAACACAAAGAGAACAGTCCCTAATGGATTACTAACAATTTTGCAAAACTACTCGTCTACTCGTACTACAAGCATAAAATTTTTACTAACAATTAGCATACAGAAGCCAGTTTTCCTTATTTCAGACTTTGTTAACATATTCGATTCTACTCATTTACCAAAGTGCACAATCTCACCCTAAAATTTGCATTGCATGCCATCTTTAAAAAAGACAACAATATTATTGTATTACTACAGAAAACCAATATCAATGTAAATTTTCCCAAAATTCAGGCAGAATATCTGAGTAGCAAAGCATTGAAAAGAAATCATATATTCACAAAACAAGAATTCAATAAGTTTTCTTATTCTTACATCATACATGCCAAGATCAAAACACCTAGAACAATCACAATATTCTGTCTAGTAATTTTTTGGCCTTAAATATATGGAAATTCCCATAAAATAGTAGGCAACAGAAATGCATAATGCTTGTTTTTTGAGAACGTGATTAGAATGTACGGAAAGTTTTGAATTTACCTGCAAAATATTTTATTGTGTGGTTGAAAACGAGTTTGAGAAAAAAATATTTTTTTTTAACAAAAATTGAGAGTAACAGAGGCTTTATGTTTCTCATGGAACAACTTTATGAGGAAGCTAACTTAAGTCACTTTTTGAAAAATTATTTTAATCACATAGAACATTATCAAAAAAATATTAAAATGTGCTTAAAATTAGTTTCTTAGTTTCAAAAACAACTTTAACAAACGAGCTCTTATTGATCATATTTAGAAAGAAAAAGAGAGATTGTTAAAGAAACTTGATTATGAGAATTGTATTTAGTAAAGCAGTAATTTATTAGTATTTCATGTCTAAAATGGTCAAGTCATTTTTCAGTATTTAATAGACGGATTTATTTCAAGCGAATTAAGTTGTGTCCATTGTTGTATACATTGTTGTTGACATTTTCCCTTATGTGTCAACATCTGACTAGTGATGAGAAATTGTATTGTAAAAATCAATGGTTATAATTGATGACGTGTGTTAGGACGTCAAATTTAATGTAAACAAGAATTTACATGTAACATGATTGATTTCCAACCATGCTACAAGTACAATTTTTTTGACAATAAGTTTGACAATGTGCCACATGTTGAAGGTTAATTGGCCAGTTTTTAAACACCACACACTTTCCCGCTCATTCGAATTTGAATTAACATTGATTGTCAAATACATTGTCAACTAAACATTGTACACAAAGCATTATTCATTGATTTCAAGCACTTAAATTTTCAAGAGTAATGCTAGATGTACACTATTGTGTACATCTAGTTTGACACTCCCCACATATGGGGGTGGGTCCGCAATTTTAAAAAAAAATTCATTTTAGTCATTA